TAGCCGCTGTGCCGGAGACAAGATCCCAGCTGCTCGGCATGTCTTCCACGTAGCCACCACGTGCCCTCCTCCTGGGTGCCCTGCCTGTCGATGTAAAGAGCCGCCACGTGTCTTTAGTCAGCTCTCTTGCCGAAGGACTACCGCTCGGGGTTGTCACCCCCGCTCGGGCAACTCCCGGTCGGTTCCCGCTCGGGTTCTTCTCAGGGAGCCCGACCTGTTACCTGCAAAGACAAGGAGAAAGAGACAAAGACTCCTCGGTCGTGGTGAAGCTATGTCGTGGTACGCAATATAAATAACACAAGACCAAGTAAAGCAAGTAATTCTTTATTGATCAAGGTAGAGTTCCTAAGTACAATCTACTTGGTTGCACTGAGTACCGACTGACTGTGGTCGGGAGTCTCTAGTTACAACCTCTCGATCGTCCAAAAAGTCCCCTACACTGTAGCTACTGTGGGCATTTATAGCCGCTGTGCCGGAGACAAGATCCCAGCTGCTCGGCATGTCTTCCACGTAGCCACCACGTGCCCTCCTCCTGGGTGCCCTGCCTGTCGATGTAAAGAGCCGCCACGTGTCTTTAGTCAGCTCTCTTGCCGAAGGACTACCGCTCGGGGTTGTCACCCCCGCTCGGGCAACTCCCGGTCGGTTCCCGCTCGGGTTCTTCTCAGGGAGCCCGACCTGTTACCTGCAAAGACAAGGAGAAAGAGACAAAGACTCCTCGGTCGTGGTGAAGCTATGTCGGTCGGGATATTCCCTACCAATTGTCAATAAAATAATTATATAGGTATGGTTGAAACCAAATACGGACATAAGGGAGAGCAAATAAAAATTAGGGCATAAAATATTAAATATATACTAATACTGAATAGCTAATTGCTGATTGCCAAACAAGGACATTGCGAGATAATTTTCTACTTCAATTTGTTGTGTGATTTGAATACTCTTTTTATCAATAAATCTCCCAAGTAGTTAATATTATTGGCTTAATTATATTTTTTTTATTTTTTTAAAACAATTATTATTATTATTATTATTATTATTATTACTATTATTATTAAATATTAAATATATGTATACCCTTAGGTCATTTTACATGTTAATCTAAATAGCTAATTTTTTCAAATATCTTTTTATCAACCGTTGATATAATTCGCTCGTCAAATTCGCTAATATAATCCGCTAACGCTAACCACTAACTGCTGATTGTCAAACAATGACATTGCGAGTTAGTTCGCACTTCAATTTGTTGTGTGATTTGAATACTCTTTTTGTCAACAAATCCCTCAAGTAGTTAATAACTTAATATGATTGACTTTATTAATTATATTTTTTTAATTTTTTCATGGTATTAATATAATACTTGGTCAATAAATATATAGCATTATTTTGTATTATAACTTTGATATTTAATTAAAAAATAGTGCACAAAAAAAATAGACAATGTAGTGAATATAATCAATTGATGAATTTGAATGTAAAGAATTTTTACATTGGAGACTAATAAAATTATTTCTCTTAATTAATTTATTGATAACGAATAATATTTTTTAACAGTGTTGCAAAAATCGCGCCTAGGCGCTAGGCGGTGGGAGGCCGCCGCGAGGAATGGCCTCGGCGGCCTCCTCCGCGGCCGGCCGCCTAGACCACCTAACCGGCCGATTCGGGGAATTTTTATTTTTATTTTTATTTTGTTGAAAACGTGGGAAAAGTTCCGGAAGGCATAACTTTTGATTCGGTTGTCCGATATGAACAATTTTTTTTTTCTAATCGCGTATTTTTTTCAAAGGCGGTTTGGTCCACTAATTTCTGAAAAAAATGCTTCTTTAGCTCTTAATTTTAGTTTTTTTTTTATGTATTTAGATGGTTTAAACAATCTTTTGAACAATTTTACAACCACTTTCGTAAATAGTTTCTAAGAAATAACTATGGGAACCTTATGTTTTATTAGTGAATTATAATAATTTTTAATTTTTAAAATTTTTTTAATTAAAAAAATAAAAAATAAAATAAAATAATCGGCACCTAGGCGCCCCTTGGCGCCTAGCGTGTTTTGCAATCATGTTTTTTAATAAAGACATTGTAGGGACAATGTAGCGAATATAATCAATTGATGAATTTGAATGTAAAGAATTTTTATATTGGAGAAAATAAATACAATATAACTAATGAAATTATTTCTCTTATTTAATTTATTGATAGTGAATATTTTTTTTTTTGAATAAAAACATTGTAGACACATAATTCTAAATTAAAGAAATGCATATGTATTATTTTTTGTTGTAGCTACTAAATTATTATTTAATTTAATAAGAGTAAAACAGAGTACTAATTATGCCAACTTTGATTGGGATGGGGTTCGAACCTAAGACCTTTCTTATTGAAATCAATGAGTAAGTTAACGGTGAACTAACAGAAATTAACGGAAAAGATAATATTTAAAGGAAAAGTTAACGGATAATCATATTCATTAAGGATAAATTAGGAAATCTTATGGAAAAATTAAAATCTGATCAATCTGAGCCATTCATTTGATTAAAAAATCTGACCGCCATTTTTTCTACCCATTATAGGCCTAACTCTCTTGGGCTCTTATTAGTATAGTAGATAGTAGATATGTGTGAATGTATATCAATGCTTAAATATTAATATATAAAAAAATTAAATATATAAATATACACACATGTATATTTGATTTTATATATATATATATATATATATATATATATATATATATATATATATATTTCATTATTATTATTATTATTATTATTATTATTATTATTATTATTATTATTAGGAATAAGGGTCAAATAGGCCATCGAACTGCACCCGATAAAATAATTAGGCCACTTTACTTAAAAAACCAACAATTAGGTCCCTAAACTAATCAATTTCAAACAATTTTTTTAATTTGAAGGTTTTCAACAGGTCAACAGGTCATCCTTCCAAATTACTTATTTTTTAAAATTTAAATTTTAAAAATTAATTAGTTTTAAATTAAACTAAAAAAAAAAAAAAAAAAAAAAACTGGTTCCGGCCGCTTTCTTCGTCTCCACTGCCGGAGACGAAGAGTTTCTTCGTGTCCGGCCATGGAGACGTACCGTCTCCGGCTGGATTCCAGTTTTTTTTTTTTTTTAGTTTAATTTAAAACTAATTAATTTTTAAAATTTATTTTTAAAAAAATAATTAATTTGGGAGATGACCTGTTGACCTGTTGGAAACCTTCAAATTGGAAGAATTGTTTGAAATTGATTAGTTTAGGGACCTAATTGTTGGTTTTTTAGGTTCAGTGACCTAATTGTTTTATCGTGTGCAGTTCGATGGTCTATTTGACCCTTATTCCTTATTATTATATAAGGATTAGTTTACAAGGGCAAAGTTGGAAAAATTCAAGGTAATCTAAAATTACCTAAGAAAATTTGGGTAATCACATTATCTCAAAACATTACCGCCACATTAGCTTTCAGGTAATCTCATAATTTGAACCAAACAAGGTAATATAACATTACCAGACTCAGACTACCTAGGTAATCTAAGATGACCCGACCAAACGTCCCCTTAAGACTTTTATCGAAGAGTAAATTTCACTTTTAGTTTTTTACTATTGTGATATTGTCGCATCTAGTCTTATTCTTTTAATTTTGTCATATTACATTATTAACTTTTATTTGATTGTCATAATTAGTCATCCGTCGTTTAAATTTTTGTTATTTCACCATTTAATAAAATGGCTATAATGTAATTTTATTATTCAAACATCTTGCTCCAACATATAATTTATCTCCCTCTCTTGTAAAACCTTTTAATTGAATGATGAAATTATATGTTAATCATATTTATTAAATAGTAAAATATCATTATTTTAAATGAATAACTAGTTGCATCAAAACAAATGAAAGTCAAGATTGCAATCTCCCAAATGAGGTGTTTGGTTGGAGAGAATTACAATTCTATTCTACCTAATTTTCACATAATTTCATACCCAAGCAATTTTGTTTGGTTGGAAGAAATTGTAAATACGCAGAATTGCAATTCTCGTTTCCATGGAATTAAAATCTCATGCTCCCTTGATATTTCATATTTCAATTCCATGAATTTTAGAAATTTTTTTAAAAAAAAATTGAAACAAATTTACCCATCTTTTTTAACCTAAAATTGATGTTTGATCGCTCTCGTTCGATTATAGCGTGTCTTCTTCTTCTACTCTCAACCCAAAATGTCAATCAGTATGACAACCTTAATCAAATATATTTTCTCAAAATTCACTTATCTATTTTATTTTTTTTCGTTATGCAATTCTAAAATTTATTTATTGCATGTTACATAAATTTTTAAAAACAAAAATTAAATTTTGGTCATTTAGAATTAATAATAATAATAATAATAATAATAATAATAATAATAATAATAATAATAATAATAATAATAAGTATGTGCATTTTGAACTTAAGAAGAAGAATAAGAAGTAATATGTGCATTTTTTTTTTTTTGGTGGCAACCAGTGTGGTCCGGGTCTTTCTCTGTTCGTTTAACGGTCCAGGTCCACCCGGTTCGCTCCGAGAGGCACAGAAGCTGGCCCAAAGGGGATCGTCACTTGTGGGAATCGAACTCGAATTAATATGTGCATTTTGAACTTTATACTACTTATTCTTTTTTAATTCTCATGTATACTGAATATTAGAATTGAAATTTTCAGTAATTTTATTTCTACAAATCAAACACTTAAATTTAAATTACCACTTTATTTTCACAATATTCATTTTCCATCACATAATAATAAGTATGAGCATTTTAGATTTTATATTACAGAATACTTATTTTCTTTCAATTCTCAGGTATACTATTGAAACCAAACCGTAAAATTTAAATTAACACTTTATTTTCTCATATAATTGTAATGTGTAATTTTTTCTCACTTAATTCTCTCCCTCAAACCAAAGGCTATTTTGCTGCGGAATGAAAAATTGGCACAGTACGCATGTGAGAGAGAGAGAAGGTAGAAAGGGACAGAATGACATTAACGGTGCGAAACGCTTGTGGTTGAGAGGGAGAGGGAGAGGGAGAGGGAGAGGGAGAGGGAGAGGGGGACACAATAAAATGATTAAAAATCTGGTAGAAAGGGAAGGCGAAAAGGAGAATGGCGATGGTGTCTAACTCTTCTTCCTCATTTCCAAAGGTTTATTAATCTTTAATTCCATTCCATTCCCTTCTTACAATTCAATCTCAACCTGCAAATTCATGGTTTGGTGGATGTTGCAGACTCAGATGCCCCAATCCCAAATACTATGCCGGAAGAAAGAGAAGGACAAAGGGGGCCAAAACCACCAGCCCTATAAAGTCATCGAAATCACTCCTCCGCCCAAGAATCTTGGCATTCGCTGCTTCCCCTCTGTAAGCACCTACCATCAATGCTCTTCAATTCGTGAGGGGAAATTATAATTAGTTTCTGCTTGCTTGCTTGCTTGCTTGCCTGCCTTCAAGCCAAGTTAATTTAGGAACCACTACTGATAGTGGTCTTATTTGAAGAATGAGTGAAGGACAACTTACATTAGGAGTATAATTTCTTCTACTTCTCATAGGAATTTGAAATATGACTGCAGTCTGCAGTCTGCAGTATATACATACATACATACATGTGTATGTGTGTGTATTGGTGAAAATAATGTCTGACTTGTGTTAGAGTTGCGTTTAATTTAGGAGAATTCTATAGTGCCTTACCACGTTAAGCTGTGGGGCTATGAGACCATAAATCCGTGAGACGAGTTGCAGATATAATCAATACTTTGAGCCTTATATATAGTACTTTGTAGCATAGATGTAGTACTTTATAGGAAAACTATAATATGCAATTTGCTGGGAATAAAGAGTATTATATAGCAGAATTGCAAGTGTTATATATAATACTTTATAAGTATAATACTTTATAGCAAAACTGTAATAGACAGTTTGTAGGAAATAATATTACTACGCTAATACACCATAAGATTGAAATTCTCATGACTCGACTTGTCTCATGGATTGAGACCCGTTGTCTCAGAGGAGAATTTGCCTAAGATGTGTTCACAAAAAGGTAAGTCCATGCTTAGGTATTTGGATGGCCAAATCAAAGATGCAACAATCGAAAGCTATGAAGTTGTCTATTTGAAAATCGTAGAAGTTCCCATTTAATTTACTCTCAGAATTTTTTTGTGGCAATGTTATCAATCTTATCACACTTTGTGAATTGGTATGTTGTGTGGTGTAATCTTTACATTGTTGTTGGAAATATGTTCATTTTGTGTTTAGGGACTGAGGCTTGGCTAGTGAATCTCCACTTTAAACATTGGGGACTATATATATGTGTGTTTTTGATAGATGTGTCATTTTAAGATCAGAATTTCACTGTTAAGGCTTTGTGATGTTTGTTAATTTAATGGTGAGTAGAAAAACATGCTTTTGTTAGTTGTTTATTGTGCTTGCTCCTATCAATCACCGAAAAGGTTTTGTAAATCGATAATCCTCCTTCATAGTAGTTTTCATATTGTTTCAGCTATTTATTTCATTTTAGAAAGTGCTCGGTAATATAATAAGTGTGAACTTTCCTCCATCTTTCACTAGTCGCTTCGAAGGATCTGAATAAATGGCCTTCTTTGGTCCCTTAGAGCATCCCCAATAGGGGGATTTTGGATGGTTTTTGCAGCTTTTACATCCATGTGGAAGAGAGAGAAGCTTAGAGAGAGAATATTGAGTTCCTCTGCAAGACTTGATTTTTTGTGGGACCCACTCTCACACAAAAAACAATGACTTTCTCATCAGTTGCGGCGCCCAGAATGCACACGCCTGCTGGGCGCGTTAGTTCTGTTACTTTTTCTTCTTCTTTTTCCTCCTTTCCTTTCTCTCTCCCATGTTCTCTCTCATAATCACCTATGCAAAAACCAACTAAAATCTCCATCTATTAAAGTTGCTCTTAGACATGTTAGGTGCTTTGTCATTATGGAATTCACTTGACTCTTTGCTAATGTATGTTTCTGCGAGATGATAAGGTTCAAAAAACTTGCAATACAAACATTGCTGCATTGAATATTCGAATTGAGATATTTGCGGGGCATACAAAGAAAGAAAGGAGTTTTCTGAAAAATGAAGGAGAAGCAAAGATTGGTGTGATCTAATAATGGTGTTGTGATTTGGTTTGGTGTGTGGCAGAACTTGCAGTGTGGAGAAAGCGTAACGATTGAAGGGCGAGCTTACACGATATCCTCTGTAACTCATCGCTACCAGCTCCGGAAAGGGAAGTATGAACCTAGTGAGAAGAGGCTTGATGTATTATCAACTGGAAGATACATCTTAAATTTGTATTTGGAAAATTTGCTACAGCAATCTTGAGTGTTATTAGAAGATATGGATAGATCATAGATAGATGTTTCATTGTGGTGTAAGTAATACTACTCTCCAATTGGCAAACACTATTGTATTAGTGTTGGATCAATGTTTATTCACACTTTTTCTTTTGAACCGAGCCAGATTAACCCCCGTCAATATTGTCTTACGTCTAAAAGGGAAAAACAAATTCTTATTTTTAAAAGGAAAAAAAATAAATCTTACTTATGTGCTCCATCTTAACTAAAGATCTAAGTTGATAGAAGCAACATATCCGATCTTTTTGCTGATAGTTGAATTGCACATTTAGATGTTTTATTGTGGTGTAAGTAATACTGCTCTGCAAATTGACAGATTGACACAACTCTAATTTGCAGAAAAATGGTTCACCAATTTGAATAAATAAACTCTCCAAATCCCTAATTATATTAAATCTAATCAAGTTAAAATTCAAAATTTTCCTACAAAAATTCTCCAATCAAAATTTCAATTATTCGTTCTCCAATGTAACCCCAGAAGGTAGCTCAAATCTGTTTCTATTACTATCATCATCAGCAATGACAATGTTGTTCTCACTTACATCCATTGCTGAGTTGCTGCTGCTGCTTTTCACATAATCTACCTTGAAATCATAATCACCATCATCTTCCATCATTGACGACGGCTCCTTCTCTTTCTTCCTTCTCCTTTTCTCGGCTTTTCTCAATTTGGTATTAAGCATACCCTCCTCACTGTATAACCTCTCATTTTGTTTGCTACTGCCAGTTTTGGTTCTCGTTGCGCCTAAATCCTCTTCTCCCAAACCCATGGGTTCATCTCCATTATCAGCGAGTTGATGATCTTCTTCACTGTTAGTCGGTGGTGGTTGAGGATTGTTCTGTTAGGAATCAATAATGAGAATTAACGTGAATTTTTTAAGAGGAAAGGAAATTCTATCTATTATTCCTTTGACAGCATTTATATTACGGAGTATAAATTTAAACAATTGAGGAAGCCAAACAAATTGAATATGCTCTCGGGAGTAAATGGTATTGGAATTTAGAAAGCTTTGTATACATACCTCAACCATGTTCTCGTCAAAACTAACTGGACAGTTAGATGGGACCTCAACTGGGTTTAATTCATTAACAGACTTGAGGCTGCCAATGAATGAACATTCACTGCCATAAACTTCATCCACATTGAATTCTTTCCCCAATTCTGAAACAACCGTCGCTTCTGAATGCTCTACCTCATCCCGTTTTGGAGGCATTGTATAGTAAGGAATTTTACCTGGAATACACCAAATTATTATTTAACACATACCAATATAGGTCACTGTTCAAGTGAGTCCACCCCTTCCCATGAGTCCGTGTGGACAGATCTGGTCCATTAAAAGCTAGAGATCAATGGTCAGATCTGGTCCATTATCAACTGTGCAACTACACACTTGAACAGTGGCCTAGATAGATTAAGGATCATATGAGAACTACATGAGTGCACACAATCTACTACACGAATGCACACACATACTCAAGGGTCTCCACCGTCATCCAAGCATGTCTGGGAGTAGATTGTGGGCATCAAGTAGTAGATTGTCTGCACTCATACAATAGATAGCATGTTCTCACCTAAGGCATGGTTCTCATATGAACGAGAGCCTATATATATATATATATATATATATATATATATATGCACTCTATGAACCTTTACTTTTCCATCTACTGTTTCCTGAGGAAAAAAAACTCACCCTAACAACACTTACCCTCATTCCAGTCATGTAGAACTATTCTGGCTGCTGCATCAATGTCAACAATGCCACCCTTTTTAAGCCTGCCCCTTATAGTGGCAACCTTCTGAAGAAAATCATCTGCCGTTTCGAAGTTAGGAACCTTGTACAGAGTCACCAGTGTTGCAGCAGGACAGAGTTTGAGAATCTCCTTCACTGCACAATTCATTAAAGGGATGTACATGAATTTTTCGTGGAAATATAATGATAATTTTCCTTGCAGAGATGGAAAACACAATCAAATTACCTGGACCAATTGGGTCATCTAACTTCTCTATTCGCTTGCAATTACGAAGAGCAATAGATGCATCATTCTCAGCTGATCTAAGCATCACGACACCAGGGCAGTCCAAAAGCTTAACATTCTTGTCTAATTGAACTTCTTGCATAGATCTGGTTAATCCTGGTGTAGAGCCAACATTAACAACATGTGATCTCTTCAAGCTATTAATCAAACTGCTTTTGCCAACATTGGGTAGACCAATAACCCCCACAGTGATTGATTTCTTTATCTGCAACCAGAGCATATCATAATTAACTAGGGCAGTTCACTCACACAACTGAGGCAATCAGGCAACAATATGGACTGGAATTGAAAAGAAAATCACACGGTTCTATAAAACAGACTAATATAAGTTCATGCAAAACCTTTCAACCATCCTAGCAAAGAAAACCAAGATTCTCAGTACATTAACCATTCAAATCTTAGATAGAGATTGGAATTCCATTGGAAGAGTTTTACAACTCAACTGGAAAATGTGGAGAACACAATCAAAAATAAAAATATTTAAATACCTCATGGCTTCTGGAGTAGTTTTTAAGCAGTTTTATAAGAGTTTCAGCACCAAGACAATCACTTGTCTGCAAAAGATTGGTGGTCTTTCCAGCCTTTGAAGATTTCCAACTCAAGTTTGACTTCTGCTCTTGGGTGTTGCATTTAAAAGCAACTGTTGGTAATTCCTCCCGAAGATACTTGAGCCACTTTTCAACAGCTTCCCTTGGGACTAGATCTGAAATAGAAATAAGATAACTTTAGCCATAAAAAGTAAGGAAAATACAATCCTCCAACAAAATACAACACTAAGTCTCTATATACTATACATTCAATTGATGTTTCGTTCCAATATTTACATAGTCAAGCATGGAAACGGGAACACCAATCTATTCAAATCCTACCATAAATCTGAGAGCCTTCAAATAGAATGGTGCTTCCCAGCCAGATATATGTCAACTCTAAATATGTAGTAGACTATATAATATTATATAGAAATAAAAGAAATTTAAACTATTATACCCTTATTTCAAATGTTATTAATGGCTTGAGATTATTGGTCAGCTAAAGATGGCATCATTAACAATTAACAATATAAATATAACTTGAACCACCTGTCTGAGATCACAACCTCAAATGAACAAATTATGAGTCTGAAGAAAATATACGGAAGAAAAAGCATACCAATTTTATTAAGGAGCAAGACAAGATGTTTCTCATGTCCTGATCTCATAACCATCTTTTCCATGTCAATGCAACGAGTACCAAGTGGATCTCTGGCATCAAGGACTTCCAAAATGACATCAGAAGCTTCAATAACTTTGACTAATTCCTTGTAGAAAGCCCGATCCGAGTTATCTGCAGTATTCCAATGAATAGGCAAAAGCAGAACCAACCAAATGAAAGGTGGCAAGACAAACACACAAGCAACCACAAAAGAGACAAAGTGTATAAAACTTTCTAACATACCGTGCTTTTTACCAATTGCTGCAAAACCGTCATCAATAGTTTCCCCAACAAACTTTTGCTCTTTCACAGAAGCCATGTCTGCTAGTTTTGACAAATCATCATCTTCAAGGAGCCCCAACTTTCTCTTCTTAGCCTGGAAAAGTAATTAAGGATATATCTATTAGCTGACAGCAGAATAAGAGAACAAAAATATACTATAGATGAGAAAGGGAAACTAAGAAAATAAAATAACAAGCACTCTAGTCAGGAGAAGAATTCAAAATGCTAATCTCAAACAAGAAAGAAACTAGGGAAAAAGCCCCGTGTCCAAAGTTGTTCCTATTTTCTCTGGCATCATTTATAGTCCAGTACTTAGCCAAGCCTAAAGAAAATGCATCAAATCCAGTTCTACAACTGTTGCAAGACTATCAGAAACCAGCTAGTAGAATAGTAGATATTAAGGTGGTGTGTGACCTCTATGGATTTTTCTGTTATTGGTTCAAAACCCTATAAAGTCCACTTTACAGGTCCAATGGCTACAAGAATCATCTATTATACAAAGTTACAAACAATAAAAATATGGCAAAATTTATCATTTTATTAACCCCTATATTGCATTTAAGCTTCAATTCTTTTGGAAGCATGTGTAATATAAATCGAACATAAGAGCAAGCATGTCCAAGAGACGTGTGATAGTATAATTAGTACCCTCTCTTTGCGGGCAGCTTTCTTCTGCTCCAGTTCCTCAAGGGCTCGATTACGTCGATCTTCGAGAGCCTTGAGTTCCTGTTCCTTGAAGGGCCATTCATTGGGGATACCAGGGTCCTTCTCAACCTTCTTGCAGTGGGGACCCGACTTCTGTGCCTTCTTGGCCTCCTTAGCTTTCTTCTTGTGGTGTTCCTTCACCTTCCTTATGACCTTGTACTTGTTCTTCAAAGATACTCTCTTGCTCTTGCTCTCTGTATCAAAGGCAAGAATCCCAAAAAAATTCTTAAAACAAAGTCTATTTCTATAAAGCCAATAGATAATTGAATCCAAATTAGAATAATAAACAGAATTTAGATAGCTTACTCTTGCTCTTCTTAACCATCTTTGTTTGTTGAGGGAGAGCCGATTAAGTATTGAAAGTTCAAAGCACTAAGAGTAAGTCCAAATCAACAATAACAATAGTGATCCTTGAGCTTTTAAAGATTTTCTCCCAAGGTATTACGTTCAATTCATAGAAAGATCTGCCCAGTTTGCAAAGTATGATCAATATCAGATATCGCATCACCATCACCAGAAATACATTTAGACAATTAATAGCTATAGTTTGCTGCAAACTAAAAACATAAACTATTATTCTATGTTAGGTACTTCACCAGGAAAAAAATAACTTAAAGCCCCAAAAGAGAATTTACAAGCCATTTAGAAACAAGCCAATTCCATCTTGTTCCAGTAACAAGATAATCCATTTGTGACTTTTTTTGAAATTCAAATCAATATCTAAATCCAAAAGAAACAACAAGAAAATCCAGAAGGCAAGCACATTATTGTACAGAACTGTTAACTCAACCACCTTTATACCCAAAATTGAGATCATTTTCCATTACTCAACCGTTACACAATAAAATCAACACAAATACACACAGAACAATGGACAGTGGGATATTGGCATATTGCGAGACTACAAATTAACTAACTTGATTCTACAAACAACACTAACTACCAGTGGGATATTCTGGGACTAAAAATTAACAAAAAAAAAATTGAACAACGACGATGATTATTAGTGGGATTTTATAAACTATCTTTCTTATCCTTCCGTTTCCAATCAACTATTTTGATAAAATTTACCCATTCAAATAAGGAAGATAAAACTAGGTTTCTGAGCAAAATAACAATATACCCAGGACAATTCGCAAATTGGCAGTCGTCGCTAGTGGCTAGCGTCGTCAAATTATTGCTAGATAGGCTGGAGCAGACGAGCAGCGTAGATATGGTCTGTGTTTGAGGCAAGCGACGAGCAGTCCTGCACTAGGGTTAACTTTGCTGTAGATTTTATTTTTAGGGTTTAGGGTTTAGGACTCCGTGAAACACTGACACGGCGACGACAGCTACAATTGTCTATTTGTCTGTATTTGGACAATATTGTGAAGTTTTTAAAATATTTGTGGACTTTAAAAATAATTAAGGACAATAAATAAAAGTTACATAATTTATTTTGGAGAAAATGACATTTTTTTTCCCTGAGTTACATGCTTATAGCATTTTTTTCTCCTGAATTATTCATGTAAGCACATTAGCCCCTCAATTATTTTAAAAGTGACAATTTCTCTCCTTGATATATTAAATTGACATTTCTACTCTTAAAATAAATATTTTATTTATTTTTCTTCTCCAACAAATTATTGCGTATACGTAGGGATGATCACGGTTTGATTCGAATTGAATCGGACACTAATCACACTATAGCAATCGAATTAAAAGTTTCGGGCTATGATTTAGATCTAGAACTCAATATTTGGATTTCAGTTTATTAAAATTATGAATCAAAAAAATAGATCCTGAACCGTGAACTGGCGGTTCCGGATCCGGTTTGCAATTTTGAACCGTTTTTATTTTTTATTTTTTAAAAATAATCTAAATTTAACAATAAATGTATTTTATTTTTTTCAGTTCGAAACATGAACCGACAGTCCCAGTTCGCGATTTTAATAAACTCTAAATATTGGGTTTCGACCTAAATTGTAATTAAAATAATTCGATTTGGTTGTTACAGTTTATGTTTGGTTTGAACCAAATTGTGGTCATAATTTGTTGGAGAATAAAAATAAATGAAATATTTATTTTAAGGGTAAATATGTCCATTTAACATTTCAAGGGAAAAAATAGCCAATTAAATAATTCAGGGGGAGAAAATGCTATAAGTATATAACTCAGGAGGAAAAAGTATCATTTTCTCTTTTTTTTTTTTTTAATATTAACTCCATTACAATGCAGTATCTGTTTATAAAAATTACATAATTTAGTTCATTATAAAAATGTAAAATATATATGGTATATATTTTACTTTTCACATTTTCAAACTTTAAATATTTTGTGTATAAACTGTTGTAATTTGGTTATGCTCGTTGACCGTTAGCTCTTAACTGATGAACTTTTGGAGGATAGAAAATATTGTAAAGAGTGAAAGAGAGAGAGAGAGAATGATAGAGATAAAAGTGAATTTCATTCCATCAAATTGTAACATTACAATACATGTCAATATATATATATAAACATAATACAAAGTGTAATGAATACAATAATGACACGATTAATAATGAACCGCTACATCCGTTATACTAATAATGTCCACTTATTATTTATTTATAACATAAACAAATAGAGTATATATTAGTAATTAGTAATTATGTTGAAAGCAGCATAGCAAGGCCTCATTATATCAAAATCATAAATATATATATTCAATTAACACCCACACTATAAAAATATTAAGTGTAATAAAATCCCACAAAAAATTATACTTTGTTCTAGATACCTTTGTCGGCTTCTTCCTCTCTTTGTCTTCCAGTCGAGCTTCCAATAGATTTTTTCTTCGCCGAGTTGCGTCATCTTCCAGTAGATGGAGTTTTCGTCATCTTCATTTAGGGGGAATTAGGAATGGTCAAAATCGTATGCATCGTCTTCGTATTTAGATTTTCATTTGGGGGGAATTAGGAATGTCTTTGTTTTATTTCTTTTTGTTTTTAATAAAAATGACTAAATGGATGTCATGTCATATGTTTTATTTTTAAGTAAAAACACGTTAATAAGAAACAAGTCAACACCATACCATGTCATAGATAACTGAGAAACCTGTAAAAAGTGTTAGGTAAAAAAATAATAATAATAGTATATGAATTGATGTTATGAAAAATCAAAATGCAACATGAACAATTCAATACAATTCATGGTGCGAAATAACATTTTAATCCAAAATTTATTTCATAATTATTGTAAACTTAAAATTTTAGTAATCACTTTTTAAAATAAAGGGTATGGTCATATGGACATGTCAACACTTTTCGGGAAATGTTCTCACAATCTCATCTGAACCCTCCCAAATATATATAGAGAAAGTGAACAGTGATGGTTCATCCTCGCTTAATTGCTCTTAATGTAGCTCTGCTCTCAAACATAACAACCTAACAAATAATGCCAAACCAGACAAACCTTTGTTCATTTTCAAAGCACAGAATGATTTTACACATCATCTCACTAAACATCATGCCATTACACAATTCTCCATCATCCCAACAGCAGATTCACAGACAAAAAAATATGCTACATAGCAGAAGAGCAGCTTTGAATCAAACTCCAACAGACATGTTCAACATTATTCTCTTGGAATTTCGTGGCAAAAATAATCACTAAACCACATCAAGATAGCGACTCAGCCTAGTGGAGTGATGTACTCCCCCGTGCATTATGCTCCACTTTGCATTGTGAACTCAGGTACTCGGCCTAACGGAATTATGAGATCCTTCATAATCTCGTACTCTTCAGCACTTATTTGTGCGCCATCTAGAACCTGTTTGTGCCAAAGGGAAAACATGATTTAAGAAACCAACGAAAGTAGTGTTTGCTGTTCAAGTTTAAGAGAAAATCAATGCACATTGGAAACATACAAATTATACCATGGACCAGGGTCTACTTTGCATTGTAGAGCCTCATCCAAAAATAACCTTCAAATTCTATATCTATAGTTGACACATTCTATACCTGCAGTTGATAGTTTTTATATTTGTAGCTATCATATTATGTGTCACCAATTATCAAGTCAGATTCTGTATTTATAGTTGACACATTTTGTACCTGTAGTTGATACTTGATAGTTTCTGTACCTGTAGCTATCATATTATGTGCAAGCAATTATCAAGTTACGGAATATTTGTTTACATGTACAAAAACTGTTAACTGAAGGTACAGAATTTTTGTATCAGGGTTCACTGGTCCATGGTATAACAATTGATTGGAAGCATGAATCCACAACTGTTGTCCTTTGCTTTTCAGGGTTGGGAAAATAAAGAAGCCCAATGAACATATCTAATCTCGTCAACACGAGAATGAATATCATGAATGAAGAAGTAAAATGGAACTTTGAGATGCCCTTGGATATCTAAAAGCACATAACATGCAGTTGTAAGCCTAGAAAAACCAAAATAAGAAAACAAGCCAGTTACTACCTTTGGAAGCAGAATTCTCCTTCCTGTCATATATGGGGTCAGCAAAGGAATCCTACATATAGAGAGCGCATCAAGAAAAAGAAGAACAATCAACTGCCACTGCTTCATTCTGAATGAGGGGAGCGGGTCCACAAAAGACATTGTGTCAATCAAACTAGCCTGCACATCAGGACAACTCCAAGTTAATAGCATAACCAGTATAGGGTCCTTGTATGTCAGACTTGGCATTAATTATAAGAAAACAAAAACAAATGCCAATCAACAAAGAATAAAGGTTTCAACATTGTTTGATTCTTTCCATAAAGCCACCTTCTCAAAAAGGGGCAAGATGGGGGAAAATGAATTTGTAGAGTTGAAGATCAATACCATTCCCTTTTCCAAAGTTGATATTGGTACTGGCAGCCTAAGATCAGCAACCAATACCGGCAAGGCCCGAGATAGACAACCAGCAAGAGTTTGTTTAATCTCAGCCGAGAGACCATCTGTTAGTACAATCTGTCTTGGATATTCCCTCCCATTTATAAATGAATATTCTTCATGGGCACTTTCATCACGCCCATATATAAAGGCCAAGGATGATGATGAGATCCATGCAAATAGTGCCATAAACATTGTTGAGAAGGGTGACAACTGAAATAAATGAAATATCATGCATAAGATATAAAATATCTAGAGAATCATTCCCAGGGTAGAGGAGCAGCTATAAAGGGGAAAATGGAAGTATACAACATAGGTATAAATAATGGTTTGAAAGACAACTTACAGATAAATTAAACTCCTCTGGTGGACTGTCATACCAAGTATCCTCAGAATCAAACAGATTATAATTTGGCGGCCCTGGCTTTGTTGGCCAATTTTGAGAATGTGGTTCTGCACCAAGCACCTGACCATTCTCTTGGCAATCCACTTCATCCATTTTTTGTGGAGGTGGCAATATAATAATCCCAGCTTCAGACACTAGACAATGTAATTTAACAAAAAAGGAATTAGACCTTAACACACAATAACCTACTATTATAATTTCTTTTCACAAAAACTTACAGATATAAATTCCAACAACCTTCCTAAAGAGCCAATCAAAACTTACCTGCACAAGAGATATCAGATCCCGATGCAACAGCCTGTGCTGCTTGGTTCAATGCTGTTGCACAAGCTTCTGCAGATGCAAATCGATAAGAATCATCATCATCTTCTATATCTTTTGAGCCAATTTTTCCGGAAACATTTTCTGGATCTCCTGATTCCCTAAACTCAGTGAGACTGTTTCTGCTGTTAGGATCAGTTTTCTTGTCAGCCCAAGTAACTGAACGAATTGCTTTCTTTGCACCTGATGGCTTCAGAGAAGATTTCAGTGCAGTAGTCTTAGGTGCAGCATCTTTTCCATCATCTAACATTTTTCCTGCTCTGATGCCATCTGTATTGAGATTGTTGTAGTAAGGATCTGTAGATGCCTCTGTAATGTGATTCTTGACACTCTCAGAAATCCTACTAATCTTTTTGTCTGACTGCTTGGATTCATCATTGTCATGGATTTGCAAAGAACCAACCTGATTTCCTAATGTAGTAACTTGATCATCTTTGTAGCTATTACTTGCTTTTTCTGTTGATTCTTTAATGTTCTCGTCCAAAAAAGCTGTTGAAGTACCAGACAACTTTGAAATGCTATACTCATCTCCAAAAATTATGGCACTAGTGAAGTCTGTCTCGTCAAAAATCACATTTTTGTTCTTATTGAGCTGGCTATGCTTAGGCGTAGATCCTGCCAAATCCAATTAAAGCTAATCTTAATCAACCAAGACATCAACTTTGATAAGCTACAATTAAAGTTCCATTGTCCAATAATATTATGCTTCAACTATTGAAGAAAAACGTTTTGCCTTCAAGGGCAAAGGCAGATTCCAATCAGATAATATGTTATCAGTTTTAGTATCATGACATGTACCTTTTTTAAGGTTTTTCGATTGTGGTGGCTTGATAGTTTTCTCCATCTGTGGAACATAGCCTTCAATAGCATTTGATGGACCAATCCACTCTCCAGGAGAAGCTTCTCCACTCTTCACTTCCACTTTCTCCTGAATCTTTAATTCAAACGATCCTAATCCTCCCTTTCTTCCCAGATCTACTTCAGAGTCCAATCTTGGAACCTCAAAAAGCCGCAAGACTTCATTAAGTTTAGAAGGGTTAAGAGTGGAGCTTCTCTCTTCTGGACAGCTACCAGCAAATGCTCGACTATTCACACAACAATTTGTTGAGCAGTACATGTAGGTTTCACGAAGATCATATATTTTATGCTCCCTCAAGGCAATGCGATACCGACCTTTGTGAGGCCTATCAGATGGCAAAAAGTTGCTGCAAAGTGGATAACCGCACATGTTTACTATTGTTCTTTCTGTGACAACATCTTGATAATCACTACGACACATCAAAGACCCAGCAGCAAGGAGTTTATTCTCATCTTGAATGCCATCCAGAAGACAAAGTTGCAGCTTGTGGACAGCATCTTTCACAGTGGTTGCTTCTGTCTTAGTCATTCTGGAAGGCTTCCTGAAGTTTAAAATCTAAAACGTATATGGTTCTTCGATCAATAGTGCAGGTTTAAACCAACGAACTTAAAGCACATAAAACCATAAATTATTTCCAAGGTTAGTCTATCACTACAGTTATATTATAACTTAACTATCACTTAACTAATAAATCTAAAGCATATACACTCTAATATATAATCTGTAACATATAAAATATGTAAAGCATATATACACTACTCACTAGCCGAATAACAAAATCAACCATTAAATAAAATTAATTAAATTCTGAGGGGAAAAAATTAAATTACCTGGTGGCTGCTGTTGGTTCACGTCGATGGACCTGTTGACGCTGGAGCTCGCAGGGAGAACCGGACGCTGTTGACGCTGCCGGCTGTGACAGGTGCTGACGGTGAGTGGGCTGCCGGCTGTGAAGGGGCTGGTCGTGGTCGGCGATCGCGGCGGCGCCAGTGCTGATCAGGGAAAAGGGACGGTGGTGGGGCTCGGCGGTGGCGTTTGTGGGCAGGCGGTGGCAGATTACGGAAAAGGGAATTAGGGCTGGGGGTTGGGGGCGGAATCCGAATGAATTAGTGAGGAGGGAAAGTTTTTAATAAGTGAATTAAAAAAACAAAAAAAAAACGATGCCAGGAAATAAAATAAAACAAAAAAAAAACATTGTGACGGAATTAATTCCGTCGCAATAATAACTCAAATGTAAAAAAAAAAAAAAAATATGTTTCTTTTCACGGCGCAATAAAATCTTGTAATTTACGTGATAATTTAGCGACGGAAAGTAAATTCATCGCTATTTGAATGACGTAACTTAACTTTATTACACATTCTGCCGTTAATATTTTGTCGCCATGATTTTGCGAATTTTATTTTCTTTTTGCTTTAAAAATCTCGACGGAATTAATTTCGTCGCCATTTCTGTTGTGAATTTGCAACAGAAGCTATTCTGTCTTAATATTCGTTGCTATATTGAGACTGATTAATTATGTAAAAAATGTGTTTGTTAGTTTTAATTACTTATTTATGTACAAAATGTCACGTAAGAATATATATCTTACCCACATCGACTCGACAACATTGTATAGATGTAATTCATGGTATCATAATTCAATTGGTTCTTAGATGATAGATTATAGATAAAAACGCATGATCAAGTTTGAATAACTACAATGTGAATGTGTAATTCTCTTGTGAGAGTGACTATTCATATACACAAGATATTTGTTGGTCCACTTAGTGTGATTCGGTGTTATCCTCATAATAATTTAGTTAACTTGTTTGAACTATTTTTGTTTTCAGGTTATTCGAACAAAAGTTAAAACCTGAACCAAATTTTAAATTTTATGTGAAACCGAATAGTTATTGATTTAAATATTTTTAAATTATGGTATGTTTGATATAAATTTGATTCGAATATCATATATGAAAACTTATGTATACCTGACTTGAAATTCTCGATAAATTTTAGTATAAATATAATAATATAACTAATATATTTTGTTTTAAATGTTAAAATTGATATTATTTTTAGTATATCCAAACTACTTTTTTAATCTGCTGAAGTATAAAGAGTCAATATCGTTTCATAGAGGATCGAGTTCATGAAAGGACCTTCATTTGAAAAAGTAATTTGCTACTAAACCACAAAGTTATTGATAATCTAAATGGAATATATTCAAATTAACTTTAGTTAAAATATTAAATGTCAAAAATATCACATAAAATTTTCAGCTACATGAAATAATATTATTGTAGTGACTAGTGAGAGTATATATTAGAGTAAAAGACATTTTTAGTCCTAAATTTATAGTGGCTTGGACAATTTTAGTCATTTATAAAAAAATTTGCCATTTTATGGACAAAGTTATTGTGGCAATGACATTTTTGGTCCTCCGTCTATATTTATGTTAGATAACCGTCTGAGAGAGGGGTAATTACGCCAATTTAGGCTATCTCCTTCTATATATTATATCTATGTGTGTTTTGTTTTCTTCTCGGTCATAATTCGAAGGAGTCGGAGAGTCCAAGTTGCAGTTGTACGAAGAAATTGCTGGAGAATGGAAGCCGTCAAACAGGTTACTAATCAAATATATAGAAGAAGAATCGAAGCCGTCAAACACACATAGATATAATAGATAGAATGAGATAGCCTAAATTGACGTAATTGCCCCTCTCTCATACGGTTATCTAACAGAAATATAGACAGAGGACCAAAAATGTCCTCGCCACAATAACTCTGTCCATAAAATGACAATTTTTTTTATAAAAGACTAAAATTGTCAAAGCCACTATAAGTCTAGGACCAAAAATGTCTATATATTATGATCAACCAAACATTGCAAGTCCAAAACCCTAGCCGGTGATACTCTTTACAAACCTTTTTTCGGCTGTGGTTCTGCTACTTTCATCTTAACATAAACTATCAAGTCTATCAGAACCAATCATGGCTGAGAGAGGGGGCTTTGGCCGTGGTTTTGGAGGACGCGGGCGTGGTGGGGACCGCGGAGGTCGCGGACGGGGTGGCCGCCGCGGCCGCCGTGATACCGAAGAGGAGAAATGGGTCCCGGTGACCAAGCTCGGCCGTCTTGTGAAGGAAGGAAAGATTCGCTCCCTCGAACAGATCTACCTTCACTCACTTCCCATCAAGGAGTACCAGATCATCGACACTCTTGTCGGCCCGTCTCTCAAGGATGAGGTGATGAAGATCATGCCGGTCCAGAAACAGACCCGGGCCGGCCAGAGAACCCGGTTCAAGGCCTTCGTGGTCGTCGGCGACGGAAACGGACACGTTGGCCTAGGAGTGAAGTGTTCCAAGGAAGTCGCGACCGCGATTCGCGGCTCAATTATCCTGGCCAAGCTGTCTGTGATTCCGGTGAGGAGAGGCTACTGGGGGAACAAGATTGGGAAGCCCCACACTGTGCCCTGCAAGGTCACCGGAAAATGTGGCTCTGTCACCGTGCGCATGGTTCCAGCTCCTCGTGGCGCGGGAATCGTCGCCGCTAGGGTTCCTAAGAAGGTGCTTCAGTTTGCTGGTATTGAAGATGTCTTTACTTCGTCTCGCGGCTCAACCAAAACCCTCGGCAACTTTGTCAAGGTCCGATTCATTTACCTGATTTAATCTTCTGAATGAGATTTCCTATTTGTTCGAATTCTGAATGGTTTTAATCTTTTAGCTTGAGTAGTATTATAATGCTGATTTGTAAGAATCTTTGAATTAAGAACATTTAGTTTCCTTGTAAGTATTGGGTTGTGTATGGAAACATTTTGAATTTTATATTCAATCTGTCTAGTAGGTTCTTTCTGCTTGTTTAATGTGCAAACGAACTTCTGTATATGATGATTAATAAATTTAATACTCCTTTTCTTGCAGGCAACTTTCGACTGTCTTATGAAAACCTATGGCTTCCTAACACCCGACTTTTGGAAGGAGACTCGTTTTACGAAATCTCCTTTTGAAGAGTACGTTGATATATTGTCAAAGCCTGCAACAAAGGCTATTGTGTACACTGAAGAGCCCACGGAGCGGGTGGAGGCTTGAGTGGTAATGGTTTTGTGCTGATGTTTTTTTGCTAGAACTTTAAACGTTTGAGATATCAGAGATATGGCAGTTGAGGTTGTCTTTTGTTTTCAGGGATGTTTTGATTTACAGTATCCAGAGAATCATTGTTTAATCTATCATGATATATAGATGTCTGTTTGATCATAGTTCACTGTGCAAATTTTGGGTCTTGCTTTAGTGTTTCATGGTGTCATTGTTTTCTAGCAGGTGTATATATGCTATTTCATTTTGTCATATACGTGTCTTGCAACAAGCTTATAGTTTGCGAGTCTCTTTTAGCAGCTTTGTTTTGTGGGTATGTGGAAATGCCATTTCTTCAGCTCAGTTTAAATGAGTTTATTTTCAGCTTGTTTATATTGTTATAGGGTTTTGATAAGCTGAGAAAAAAGAGAACTTTAAATAGCTGTTTTGAGCTTATTTATGAAATAATTTTATAGCTATTTTTAAAGTTGCATTTTCTTATATTATGAATTGAGTTAAGCTATTTTGAGCCTATAGAGAAGTGTTGTCTTATTTAAGCTCTTAATACAGGAGAAAATTGCAATTTCCAACCCCTAATTATGATGGGGATATAGTTCTTTGCGTCCTTTAACTTCCAGTGGCCAAATGGGTCCTTGTCCATGACAAAATTGTTTATCTTTACATGGTAGCATGTTAAAATCTAGAGGTGTTTTGGTTTTATAGTGTCTGTACTCTGTACCCACCTTCGCACCTTGTGACCTTAACTGGCAAAGGACCACAAGAAGGTGACCAGTTCAGGTTGCCCATAGTTGATTGGTTCAGACCAAGAAAGCCAATAGGCCACTCCGACTGGGAGTTGAACTTATAACTTTGTGGTTACTAAGTCAATAGCCTGACCAATTTGGCTGGGTTGTCCCTGAACAATCCTTCCTTCTTCATATATTTGCATTCAGAAACAAAAATACGTGCCTTATAAACTTGATTCATTCATATTTATTAAAGAAATTGATTGATTGATATATGGTGAACTCAGCAGCATTGGTATCTTTACCTTGCATTTCTATTTGATTGGAGAAGCTGTGTGTGTGTGTGTGTATATATATATATATATATGTGTGTGTGTGTGTGTGTGTGTGTGTGTGTGTTGACTGGTGATAGTTGCTCTGCCTGTTAACCTTTGATATCTTCATAGCATATTCTTTTGAATATGTTAATAGCTTCACTATTGTCTATTGGGCTGCCTATCTGAAATAGGAGCACTTTGTCTCTGGAATCATAACCCTGCCGGAGACTCTTTTGAACTCAAATACAGGCAAAAGAGGGAATAGCGGCTTCTTTGCAGCCGTTCTTACCCTAGGCATAAAACGGCTTCAGAAAATGTGTAATAATCATTCCATTTTGGAAGTCCATTTTCGAAGACACTACCTATATTAATGATTAGTTGTATAATTTATCAATGATTAGTAATGATTGATTGATTAATTATATTGTATTATGTATAATTATATTGATTGAAGAAACCTTTCCATTTCCAGCCCGGTTACCATTCTCATTGGATGGTCATAGATTCAAATCCCGGTAGTGGTGACTTAGATTTTTTGGGCAAAAAATGTTTGTGAAAGTATAGAACATATATTACTTTGTAAAGAATACTTATTCAAAAAAAAAAAAAATACGAATCATATATTGCAAAAGAAGAATTTTGGTAAAAAAATGTTGCATTGAAAACATTATATAGCATTTGATTCTCAGCATTCATATTTACATCCTGATTTATACTTTCTCAACCTTATTGAAGCATAAAGAGTTAACATCGACTCATGACCTCCAATATGGGACAGCACAAAGAGTTAACATCGTTGCCTCCACTGAAGTTCGATCTCATGACCTCCAATAAGGAAAAACACAAAGAGTCAACATCGCCTCCACTGAGACTTAATCTCATGACTTCTAATATGGGAGAGTCACTACATGCTATCCTAGCATAAGGTGCTTGGTCATTCTGTACCTTATTCCATGGCAGCTTGAGCACATGCTTATAAATATTGTTGTTGATGTGACTGGTCGATTTTAAATTATTACTTAATAGTTGCACACCGTTTTAGTATTTGGTAAACTTGTAGTCCATTAGATATTATTAATATGGTTTAATAACGTACGTTTTGAGAGGATTTCATTGATTAACTTGTGTAAGCATGTTTCCTTGGCTTATAAGTGGAAGTATAGACAGTCGCATCCCAATCACAGCTCCTTAACCCTCTTGTCCTTGTTGACAAGCTCCTTATCTCTCTTGTTCTTGTTAACAAGTTTATTCTTTGTCCCTTGTCATCCAAGTTGATGAGCTTTCTCTCACCCAAGTTGATGAGCTTTCTCCCTCTTGTCACTGCTTGATAAGTTTAAGTTGTGTGCATGATCTAACTCCCTTTTTCATTCAATGCTCTTCTCACTCAATGTACCGCTACCTAAGATCCTTCTCATTAAATGTGTTTTTAAGGTTTCTCTCACCAATCCCAGCATTATAGTCATCCAACCTTCATTTATGGCTACTCTGCTCTGTCTCGTGGTCACTGGTGTACTCCTCATTCAATGCATGGCTACCTACGTTAACCATACAGCTCGGAGTTAAGGGCGACCGGACGTCGTGCTCAACCAAACCGTGGACAGAAATGGCTTTTGCAAGAGTCCCCTCGCCGGTCGACAATAGAGGAAACCACTGACCAACCTTTTTTCGCAAGACAGCCGTGATCAGAAACAGAGCGAGAACCCAGGCATTTCGGGTAAATCAGAGTGTGGACTTTATCCAGGGGGTATTAACGTTCAATCTGAACGTGTCCAGGAGCCAGGAGGCATTAATGAAAAGCAGCTTCAGCTGGGTGGTCATTTAATGCTCACATTGACCGAGACCAACTCGTCTCTTGTCCATCATACTTATGGGCCGAACGTTTAGATCAAAGGAAAAGAAAGGTGGGCCGAACCCAGGAGGAAACATCCTTTGAGGACCAAATGGCCCGTCTAAAACAATGAGTTTCTTATCTTGGAACTGTCGGGGATTGGGCAACCATGCGACAGTTCAGGTATTAACGGACCTAGTCCACCAAAAAAAGCCGGTTTTAATCTTTCTTATGGAGACTTTGGCTAATGATAATAAACTTCAAGCAATTCGTAGAAAACTAGGCTGGAAAGGGTGCTTCACGGTTGAGCCTTTGGACCGGGGAGGCGGTCTTGCTTTACTTTGGAACGATGGCATAAAGGTTTCTATCACTGACTCTTCCCAAAATCATGTGGACTCGGAAGTCCAGATCGAGGGAAGCAGTATCAACTGGAGATTTACGGGCTTCTATGGTATGCCAGAGAGTACGAGGAGGAGGGATTCCTGGGATCTTCTTATCAGTTTGGCAACGAGAAGTGACCTGCCATGGCTTCTTATGGGCGATTTCAATGACCTTCTTAACCAGGAGGACAAAAGAGGTAAGCGTCCTCATCCAGAATGGCTTATTAGAGGATTCAATAATGCTGTCCATAGTAGTGGGTTACGGGAGTTGGCCTTTCAAGGCTACCAGTTCACTTGGGAAAAAGGAAGGGGCACAACAAATTGGGTAGAAGAAAAGCGTGACAGGATTCTAGCCTCTGACACATGGTTTGAGAACTTTGAGAGGGCAAGGGCTACTTCCGTGGATGTGCCCACAAGTGACCACTTACCCTTGCTTTTGACACCAACACCCACTGCGAAATATAGCAGAGTTAAACGGTTTCATTTCGAAAACATTTGGATTAAGGAAGACAAGTGCCGCGAGCTTGTGTGGACGTCATGGGATCTTTCCAGAGGGGAGGATACCCTTCACCGACTAGAGAAGTGCAGCAATGCAATCTGGAAGTGGGGTAGAAATTTTAACAAGGATTTCAACAAGCAGCTTGAGAGGAATAGGAGACAAATGGAGATTCTAAGGGGCAGACATGATCAACAGAGTATTATGGCCTTCCGGAAAGCTCAATGCAAGTATCTTAATGTTTTGAAACAGCAGAGTGACTTTTGGAGACAAAGGGCTAAAGTATCTTGGTATAGGGAAGGGGACACTAATTCAAAGTTCTTCCACAATACTGTAAAGGGGAGAAGGAGGACAAATAGAATTGAGAAACTGAGGAACGATAGAGGTGACTGGAGGCATAAGAGGCCAGAATTGAATGAACTTATTCATTCATACTTCCAGCAATTATTTACTAGTAGCCTAGGTGAGATGGAGGATGTCTTAAGATGTGTCAACTCAAAAGTATCCCATACCCAAAATGAATCTCTGCTACATTTGGTTTCTTATGATGAAGTCAAGAGTGCAGTGTTTAGCATGCATCAAGACAAGTCACCAGGTCCAGATGGTCTTAACCCAGGGTTCTATCAAGCGTACTGGGACATCCTGGGGAGTGAATTGGTTCACCTCTGTAACACTGTTATCAGGTCAGGAAGCTTACCTAATGGCATAAATCATACTCACATTGTGCTTATCCCCAAGAAAAGTGAACCGAAGGGTATGGGAGATTTAAGACCGATCGCTCTGTGCAATGTAACATACAAGATCATTTCCAAGGTTCTTGCAAATCGTTTAAAGCCTCTTCTAAACAATTTGGTCTCCGAAAACCAGTGTGCATTCGTCCCTCACAGGTTGATCACGGATAACATCATGCTTGCTTTCGAAACTCAACATTTTCTGAAGAGGAAAACACAGGGGAAAGAAGGTTTTGCTGCAATCAAGCTTGATATTAGTAAAGCTTATGACAGAGTTGAATGGCCTCTTCTTATTGCTCTGCTGTCCAAAATGGGTTTCAATTCTAGATGGGTCAATCTGGTTTATCAGTGCATCTCGTCGGTCTCCTATTGCGTATTGCAAGAAGGCGAGGAAATTGGTCCAATTATTCCAAATAGAGGATTACAACAAGGAGATCCTCTTTCACCCTACTTATTCATTTTGTTAGCCGAGGGATTGAGTGCTATGATCAGAAAATTGGAAGAGCGTGGTGAGCTACACGGCATTGCTATTGCGAGAGGAGCCCCGAAGATTTCTCATTTATTCTTTGCGGACGACAGTTTTATTTTCATTAAAGCAAACCAGATGGAAAGTTCTATTATTAAGGATACTCTGGATAAGTATGGAAAGGCTTCTGGACAGATTATAAATTATGAAAAATCAGCCATTTCTTTTAGTGCTAATACCAGCAGCGTGGTGAGAGAACAGGTCAAGAGCAATCTCCAACTAAGCAGTGAAGGCGTGAATGGCAACTAT